GACCTTATTTCGGAAAATTATGTATTGAAGTCAATGGCGAGAGAAAACGTATCTTTCGATCCCGTTTGAATTGTGCCACGAATTACACATATGTTTGTTAATCTTAAAAAATCTTTTCCATGTCAAAAAAGTCACAGTTTGTCATAAAACTGTTGAAATACAAGACTATGAAAAATATGCAAATAGAAAGACTACAAATCCCAGAATCCCGGTCCCGCATGCTGGCTCTTACGGAACCGACTAACTCCCCTTGTGTGTATTTACAGCTCTCAACATGCCCAGACTTGTAGTGATTTTCACCTCTTAATACTTTTCGCCTCATTCTGAAAGAAAGAAGTGAAATATTCCAACGTGACGGCCGTCTTGATGTGTGGTGCGAGACGGGAGATGTTGCTCATTGAGCGGTTTCACACAAAAAAAGTGTTACTTCACAGTTTTACGACCCCTTTTTTATTTAGTTTGACTTGCAAAATCATCTTTTAAATTGACAAACATCATATGTGTAATTCGTGGCACAATTCAAACGGGATCGAAAGACAATCTTTCTCTCCCCATTGACTTCAATACATACTTTTTCCGAAATAAGGTCCCATGGAGGTCCACCGGAAAGGGAGGGACTTCGCCTCTCTATATCAAAAATGTTCCTCAGGGGGCTTTACAATCGGTGCAGTGAACAACACCCAACACCTTACTGAAAAAGTTTGATCAATCATAACACACCTTAACATATTCAATTTAAGAATATGGCTTTAATTCAGAGTTAATCATGTAGTGTGTACATTTTCAAATGAGCCACAAATTAATATATACATTTTTGCAAAATATGGTTACTGTCATTTTAAGTACATCTTATCATTCTAATATATGTATTCAAGTATTACTTTTTCTGATAAGTTCGTTTTAACTTTGAGACAATAGAACCACGAGTGTTCCAATCGTTTCCGGGTATTATAATTCATTCCTGCACCACTCAATTGACAACTGCTTTGGGTGAAGTACCACTAGCACTGGCCCTCTGCAAAACTACCTTGAGAAAAAATAGTGAGTCACTGTAATGTATGCTCCCTAGTTAACACCTGTTTAAAGAGCCATAATAATATAAGAAATACCATAATGATTTGCAATGTTAAAATGTTCTACTCTCCAGGCACGTGTTACAGTTTCATCATGTCTCCTTTCATTTTAGTAGATCATTTGGTGCTGTTTGGTAATGCAGTGCTAGTTCTCATGAGATACTGAAACACATTTAACTCCATTCAAATGTCCATCATCTGGACGTAGCAACTGAGCCCTCCAAGACTTCTGGTAAGAAATGTGCTAAAAGACTGGACTTATAGTAGAACAGAGGGAGGGAGTTAAAAAAAGATTTTAAAAAATAAGGAAAAGGTTGCAATGAAGTTTGATTATCAGAAAATTCGAGGTCTACACAATTGGATTCAGCCAATTCTAACAAACACATTATGTTTCCTACGGTTTTTCCTACCAGCTTAAGTTAGTGCTAATAAATAAGTACTTACAAGTGAAGAGGGTTTTGGTCATAGATCCAAGTATTGGCAACTGTTGTCCTCCCTATGCAGCTAAAGGAAAAGTCAGTTGGATTTATCCTCTGGAGAACGTAAATGTATGTCAAACTTTCATAAGAATTCCTCCTATTGTTTTTGAAATAGTTCAGTGTGGACAAAAACAGTCAACAGACGAACATTTACAAATTATAAAGTGTTTTTTTGGAGAACACCAGGTAACAAGGATGTGTCGTAGTCAGAGGGTTAAACACTATTATTGTCCTTAAACCTGTTGTGGATTACATGGCATTTAAGTAGTTCAACAATACATTACACTGGTGGAATTGTTCTGTTTTTATGATACTGTGATGAATACTTTCCACTTTAGATAATGATAACTATTTTTGCCACAGAAGGTTATATTAAGTTGCATTAAAGCTAACATGAACATGGAGTTAGAAGGAATGGCAGTTATATTGAAAGTGTTGAAAGAGCAAGAAATAAAAAGGAAGTGACCGTTTGCAATGACTCATCTGCCTTCTCTCTAAAGGGCATTCATGATGAATGATTTCCTCTACTGATGTTTGTGTTTTGAAATCCACTGTCAATGTTAAGCTGCTAAGGTTATTAATTGAAAGCCTTATGGAACAAAGACATCCATGTCTTAAAGTGAGCTTTATAACATTAGACTGACCTGCATGAAATTACATACGGCTCTCATAGAATGACTTACTTATGATTTGTAGATTGATGCTTTTATTTAAAAAAATCATTGCTTAAATCTTTATGCAAAAGCTTAAATCAATGTGTTGTGTTCATGTTGTACATTCAAATTTGTATAGGATTAGCTAAGAAAGTTAGGAAATTAGGAAGCAGTGTGTTTTTATTTGGAGTATTTCCCTTTAAAGGCTGTTTATATATAGAGAATCACTTTGTTATCTATATGGTTTAAAATAAATCATGTAGCAACTTCAGACATACGAGAGGAATTGTTCCACAAAATGTGATTGTAAAAGGATGAGATCTCAATGTATCTCAGATGCTTCAGTGCCTTTGTACAGTGTACATTCCATGAAATAAATATTTTCTAAACAAGCTTTAAAGGGAAGCTTCTTTCATTTAGCTTCTGGACTCCTATATTATTGCTACCGTGGTGTGTGCTGACCTGAATAGAGGATGTGCTTCTCCCTGCTGGTGTAAGGTTGGTACACTGCAGGCTTTTCTTGAAATCATCTTTAAATGTGTGACATCCATTTGACCTAATCAGCTCAAGATGTACAGTACCATACATTAGGCATACATTACATTCTTAATCACTTTTCTGTCCATTAGATTTGTCCAATGTGTTTCAATACAATAAGGCCTACAACCCCTGAGATTCACAAGCTATTCACAAATATGGAACAGTAACTGCTGACAGAAACCTGAGCGGAAACAGTAAAGTTGTCGAAGCTGAACATTAAAGTGGAATATCCTTATTCCGGAAAAAAGTTAGCACTTCTGGGTTCCCTCATCTCAAAGTAATTTTTAGTTAACACAAGTATTTCACATTTTGTTTTAAGACAAAGAATAAGCCATTAAATACCCCACTGTTGAAGGTCTTAATCGTGTGTGTGTCTTAAAAATCGCAGTTTCTAACAAGGGACTAAATGAGACTGCTAAACATCATCAACCCAGACACCTATCATGTCGTGAATGACATGATAGGTCAATGTTAGCTTTTTAATTATGTTGATTACATTCATGCTTCACCTATTCTAAAAGTGGTGTCAATATCTGGAGATTGTTTTTCTGAACACATCATGTAAGTATCTTAAACATGTGTTTAGCACGGAACTTTATTCATAATTTCTGCACCACTCAATGGGAGAACACACAGTGTCGGGCATCTTCACTTGTGTAATCTTTAACCATTCCAAAAGCTTAAGTTGAAGGACTTTTAGGACAGTTAGTTAGCTAGTAAGAATACAGACAATTACAGTGGGGCAAAAAAGTATTTAGTCAGCCACCAATTGTGCAAGTTCTCCCACTTAAAAAGATGAGAGGCCTGTCATTTTCATCCTAGGTATACCTCAACTATGAGAGACAAAATGAGAAAAAAGAAATCCAGAAAATCTCATTGTCTGATTTTTAAATAATTTATTTGCAAATTATGGTGGAAAATAAGTATTTGGTCAATAACAAAGGTTAATGTCAATACTTTGTTATATACCCTTTGTTGGCAATGACAGAGGTCAAACGTTTTCTGTAAGTCTTCACAAGGTTTTCACACACTGTTGCTGGTATTCTGGCTCATTCCTCCATGCAGATCTCCTCTAGAGCAGTGATGTTTTGGAGCTGTCGCTGGGCAACACGGACTTTCAACTCCCTCCAAAGATTTTATATGGGGTTGAGATCTGGAGACTGGCTAGGCCTATCCAGGACCTTGAAATGGTTCTTACGAAGCCACTCATTCGCTGCCCGGGCGGTGTGTTTGGGATCATTGTCATGCTGAAAGACCCAGCCACGTTTCATCTTCAATGCCCTTGCTGATGGAAGGAGGTTCTCACTCAAAATCTCACGATACATGGCCCCATTCATTCTTTCCTTTACACGGATCAGTCGTCCTGGTCCCTTTGCATATTGTTTGAGGTTGTGGACAGGTGTCTTTTATACTGATAACGAGTTCAAACAGGTGCCATTAATACAGTTAACAAGTGGAGGACAGAGGAGGCTCTTAAAGAACAAGTTACAGGTCTGTGAGAGCCAGAAATCTTGTTTGTTTGTAGGTGACCAAATACTTATTTTACCGAGGAATTTACCAATTAATTCATAAAAAATCCTACAATGTGATTTCCTGGATTCTTTCCCCCATTCTGTCTCTCATAGTTGAAGTGTACCTAGGATGAAAATTACAGGCCTCTCTCATCTTTTTAAGTGGGAGAACTTGCACAATTGGTGGCTGACTAAATACTTTTTTGCCCCACTGTATTTACCATTTTTTTGTTGGATGTAGTGTCACATCTAAGAAATCAAGGAGACGAAGGGCATTAAACTATAACAATATGTCAATGGTGAAGTCGATCAATTCTTAAGAAAATTCAAAATATAATCCAATAAAAGAAGAGAAAGAACAATTCAAATGTCCTCACGTCCTGATTGCAGTGCACTTTTTTTGTGTGCTCTCTTCATAGAATGCTGGAGTTGCCCTTTCACAGAACGGATTAAAACCACCAACTCTTATTACATTTCAAACTTAATTAATGGCTTACCACTACACTGTATTTATAACTGCATTAATTAATTATTTTAAAAATATTCCTGGTTTATACCAATTACCCAGATGCTTTATAATTATTTCCATGACACTGGAAGTCCTGTGTTTCTCCATGCAGCTCATGTAAAAGGGGCCTTTAAAAGGCCTGAAGGTGTCGCTCTTACATCACTATCTACAGTACAAACAGAGTATGATTTCCCAATAAGATTTCCTCCTTCCTGAGTAATAAGATTGATTCAGTATTTCTTAACATCAGTTTTATTTATGCTTTATTGCAATCAAGTCAAACTTCCATTCTGACAGAGTATTACAACACAATATTTTACAAGTGCCCAAAAATATATCTCACTGACTTATTATATTTGGCAACTTATAAGTCTCTGCTAAAACAAATAACAATATATATAGTGTTTTATTTATGAAAAAATACATTGTCAATTTCCACAACAAATACTGAAGAAGGTATGAGATACGCACAGTAGTTTTGTTATATGACACCTTGAACATGCTTCAACTCAAATACATTAATAGAGTAAATAAAGGACCAGATAAATGACCTGCATAAACACTGCTTAGGTCACAGTTCAGCTTTTCCAGGCCTGTGAGTCCATTTTTGAGTTTCAAAACTGAAATTACAACAAATGGTGGACAGTGGTGTTTCAGGTGTAGGGACGGAGCTCTTACTTATACTTCTTTAATACCAGGACAGTAAGTTTGTTTTTTAACTCCAAATGGACTCCTGTTCCAAAGCTGAGAAACTGACATAGGCAGCGTCCAGGTGTAGGATAGAGCAGGTTCTGTATTCGGTTTCTAGCACGGTTGACGTTAAACACTAAAAAACAAACATCCAAGGATGATGAAGGATCATGTACACAAAAACATGTGTTGATAGGTTACAGAGTTGGAGTCAGGACATGAGCCTAATGTAAGCTGCCTGTAAATGAAAAGCGGTAAAACACTCTGTGCTGGCTGTGCTATTGGTTTCTCATGGAGAGGTGCGCCAGTTGACTAGGCCGGAGATAAACTGGCGTCGCGCAACGCTCAAAAAGGCCACCAAGCACCACACTCAAAGTCAAACTTTCAACTTTGAGCACAAATGACACTGACCTTGCGACACACAACCAATCAGGTGACAGCTATATGATGCTGTGCTAGCTAGCAGGGAAGGTAACTAGCTGTTTTAAACGCAGGGCGTAAGAACAGGAAGCAGGTTCAAGCAAGCTCAAAAATACACTAGCCAACACCACAAAAGCTCACCGACACATCCTAATATTATGTTACTTAACTGTATTCAAACAGAAATGTAAACACTTTTCTTTTTGATGAACAACTATTTAACCATACGCCCAACAACTGGAGTGCAGGTTGCTTGATAGTTGTTAAGCACTGTTTTTTTTTTAAAAATCTCTGTGCAGTTAAAACAGTCACCCCTAAAACCATATAAGGGATTTTAACAATGACAGTCTAAGTTCAAAAATGTCTATGTGAACTTTATAGGTGCTGGTAGATGTACTTTTCAGTTTGGACTTAGCCAAGCTAGCTGTTTTACCGAGCTTCCAGTCCTAATGCTAAACTAAGCTAGCTACATCCCAACTCCAGATCTGGACTTAACACACAAACATGAGAATAACATTATTTCACTCTGAAAAAAAGTTAATCTTCCAAAATATGGAGCTATTCCTTTCACATCTCTCTTTTTAAGCTAGTGCTAATGACATAGCTGCATAGCAAAGCTATTAAACACACTTGTTGCACTCTCTGAGGTCTTGGTGTCTGTTACTCCTAATCTCACATAGTTAGAAAATATATTAGAGATTTATTGGGAGCACATCATGAAGAGAGATATGCATAATAAGAGTTGTATTGACATGGAGATTTACTAAGGGGGCAGCTGGACTGGAACTTTAAATGTAGTTTAATGAATATGAGCAGCACCAGGGCTTTGTTCTAATATTGAAATGTCCTTCTTGAAATTGCTACATGTCTTAGTGTGTGGCATGCTGTGACTGAGAGTTGAGGAATGAGTCTATAAACCAGAAATGTGTCAGCATTTCACCAATGGACAAAAAATAGCATGGCTTTTTGTGGAGGGAGCCCTTGTAATGCTAACTTCCAAATTAGCTTACAAAAATATGTGATCACTGCATAACTCTGTTCAGGAGAAAGGCATTGAGACTGGGACAGTCATGCTGACCCCTTCTGTTGTTTTTTACATTTTGTATTTTAAAGAACCCTGAATGGGGATACTGCATACATAATCTCAAGTAGGGAACGTTTAGAGTCACAGACGCAGTACTGGAGTGGACAGTGGGCAGTTCAAGCATAAAGTATGCATTTCAATAGGTGGTCACATAAAAGAGTCACTCCACTGATTTGACACAGCAGTAGGTACAGCCTGTGAAAACAGCTAAATATATTTTTAACGGTCAAAGGGAGCTTTGTCAAGCCTTATTGTCACCAGACAACAACTTCCTAAATTATAATGTGTTCCACTTGTTATGCCGATTAAATTAATAAATTCCACTGTGCAATCTATATTGACAGAGAAATTCTCCTGGTGCAAAAATATATTTTGCTTTCTGTATCGCCAAGTGTCATTAGACATGTCAATAAAGTAGTTGGGGGAGAAAAGAAGAACTACAGGAGAGTCTTCCGCTTTCGAACTTCCGTGTTCTTTTGGCTTTTTCATAGTTATATTTCTAATACCGAAAATAGTATCCCATAATCAAAGTGCAGAGGTTTTTACTTGACAGATATTTTGCTGATATTTAATCGAGCCAGAGAACATTGTCGAAGAAATGCAGGAGACTGGGAACTACATTTACCATTAACACTGATGGGACCTCCACAGACAAAGTTGCTGAATTATATAATTATATTATCTCTGTCATAACAAGAAGCTTGTGGTACAAACTTAGTGGAGTTTGAAAGATCTATGCTACAGGGGGAGGGTCTTAAAGATTATGGCATGCATTGCATTCTGGGGAATGTAGGATCCAGTGTTGACAAGTATTTCTAATAGCTGTCTTTAGTACGTTTTTTGAAAGTGCAATGCTAAATAACTACAATACCTCTTTTAAACCCACACTACATCTGCTTTGAGAAGCTACAAATTAAACTACAATATAAATTCTTATGTCACAGTGTGTAACCCGTCAGAGTGTCATAAATGCTTTATCAACACTGACAATTCTTTTAGCGTTGCCTATCCACAAAGACTAAAGCAGACTGAGCTAGTGATTCCTGTTAACTTTTCTGTTATTTCTTCAAGAAATTAAACTTAAAGGCTTGGATCACGCATCAGTCACTGTCTTTGTATATTCTATGTTGCAGGATATTTCTAATATTGATCTAATTGATATGGAAAATATCTAAATTGATTTAAAATATATAAGATGATCTAGTTTACATAAGACAATTGCATTGCATGCATTGCATGCTCTTGAAACAGAATATTGAACTACACCATAATCAAATTCACATGACAACTTAATCCTTGTGCAAATGCTTGGGTCATTAGAATGTAGGTCCTAAAAATAGAATGACAAGCCAAGGTACAGAAACCCTGGAACAACAGGAAAACATGCTTAAATAGATACAAGCCGTCCCTGCATCTTCAATCTTAACATGTGCTTTTACCAACAGGGTTTCACTTCAGTCCCCTTTTCTAATGTCTGGTTTAGGGATAACAACAGGAGCAACAGGTGAACAAAAACCATGAAAGGAATAAAATGAAAAGGGTTTATTTGCTTTCTTTCTAAGGGTGAGATAGGGTGGGCTGGAGGTAACAAACAAAATGCAACATGTGCTCTACAGGCTGTTTCAGGCCAGAATAGCAATTTTCCCCTGCTTCCACTTTATGCCAAGCTAAGCTAACAACTGCTTCACTCAGGTTGTGTACACACAAACATGGGACAGGTATCTCATCTCACTCTCAGAAAGAAAGCAAACAAAAATAGCACTAAGTTAAACAAAATATAACCACCCTGATTTTGAAAACAGTTGGTCATTTTAAGATTTGGGGCACAATATTGAAACCATGGAGTGTTCTTTGTGTGACTGTATATTATTTATGAAAACCATCAGAGTAAACCCTGTTGAGTGTTGGATCAGTCAACTGAGCCAAAGGTAAAGGACCAATGTTGAGCTTCATTTTCCACCAACAAATGTGTCCGTACTATGAGATGTCAAGACGTACTATTATGCTAATACTGTGAAGCAGTTATTCTACTACTATATTATTGTATTCATCACAGGTTGACAGTGTTAACTGAATAATATGATATTTTAACAACAACTATGAGCTGTAACATTAAATCAAAAACGCTTCACAAACAACATATGTAGGACAGACTGATAATAGCTTAACTCTGCCTAAACAAGTCACATTCCCTCAAAATGAAAACTTCCAGTTCTTGTACAGACGGACAGAACAATTCCACAGTAATGCACAGTTTATCTATGATACTTCCATGAGTTTGGAGATATCACTTCATATTTCCTTATACATCTGAATGTGTGTTTTTGCCTTATTGCTTTCTGTGGGACAGCTGCAGAAAGTCTGAAATTAACAAACCTTGCCTGTGACATGTGCTATGAGGCATTTTCAAGTATTTAAGTGAGTGTTAACTTTAATGAAACTTGCTAATTTTGTTAATTAGTCCCACATTTTGAGCAATGCCACTGATTAAAGTGTAAGTGGAATGAAAAGCTATTCCTAAAAATGTCAGTAACACTGACTGTGCATGTCAGGATTGTTATGTACCTCCTGTGGCGGGTCATGAACAGAAGGTGGATTGCAGCTGCTTGAAGGCGGCTTGCCTCTCTTTCTTCTCCTCTTCCTGTCTCTTGCGTTCTTCTTTTTCCTCCCGAATCTCCGCCTCAAACTTGCTGCCCAGAGACAGAGCCTGCATCTGCCGACACAGAAAATCACTGTGTTCATTCCCATCAACACAAAATATCCCGAGTAGCCCTGCCTTACTTTCCATTTCTGACTGAAGGTTAATGTTAGAGCAGATTACCAGACAAACATTGAGTACCTTGGCTTCAAAGAAGTCTTTGGCCCCCATCACTCCCTCCGTGGAGACGTTGATCTCGGAAAGCCTGGCCAGAGCCATCAGACCGCTCTCCTCCTGCAGCTCTCCAGCCGCCGCTCTCCGGAAGATCAGCAGGAACTGCAGAGGTTCAGCAACACTCAGAAAACAAGTTTTGCTGTGGGAATACTGTAAGTAGTAATATACTTTTTTTTATAGAAGTGCTGCATATTTTAAAGCAGTGGTTCTCAAAGTATAGCGCAACATTACTGTATGCATATGTTCATATGAGGGGTCAAAATCTTGTCTGGTGGTTATAGGTATACATGCTCATATTTTTTTCTCTTCATTCCCCACGCCCCAAAATAATTATACAAATATACCAAGTAACGAAGTTGGAGCAGTGTGGGTTTTATATTAATAGAGTTACACATATTTCAAAACGCAAAGTGTAATGACTGCAGTTTTCCTCCCTGTCAGAATGACAAAGATCCTCAGTGAAGCACAAGCCCATGTTTCTCACTACATTGTAAGTACAACTTATAAAAAAGATCAGTTCAATGCAACTAATGTCGTCTCAGTGTTATTGCATGATGTTAAAATTGGTTTGCCATGAATTTAGTGATGGATTGTAAACATTTTAAATGTAGCATTTAAGTGTTTCTCAGTTACAAGGTTGTTGTTTTAATAAATCAGACACTGATGGTGCAGCGCTGTACTGCACCTCTTTATATATCACTAGGGCATCTAAATGATACACAATATAAAGAAAATACTGAATAGATTTAAATACTCTACAATATACAATTGCACTAGGCAACAGACAGAAATATACTGAGTATTAAATAATTAAAATAACAAATAAATGAGCAATACAAAAAAAAAAAAATGGTACTGTTGTGGAGCACCTAATCCCAACAATCTTTGAAATTCTGAGCTTCTTTAAACGCACCCTTTGACCTCTTTATTGTACCAGGAACAAAAAAAACAGTCCAAGTCACGTTGAGTATTTCTCCCACATAACTGTGTTTTATGAAGCAAGCAGTGGATTAAAATAACAAATTAAAAAGGTAGAAGTCTAGCTTATAACTTCAGGGACTCTTAAATAAAGTGTGAATGGGTTCCTCTGCTGGTCTCAGACCTTATATGAGTGATAATAACAGACCTTTAATCCTGGATGGGGGACTGGCGACTGAACTGGAGGCACAGGGAATCAAATTACAGGTAACATATCATTAAATGTAATAATAACATTTAGCTGATTAACTACTTTTACAAGGGTTTATACTGTATCAGTCAGTTTGTCATTAAAATACTAATGTATCTGCATTACGTAGGCTTAAATCTTCATGTTTACTAAGATAAAGTTACCTGATTTATTTAATATCATGTAATAAAAGATAATATATGTAATTGTTGGCTTAGACTGACGCAGCAGTTGTAGAAAAAATTTATGTAAAGTAAAATCATAATTAAAACAATGCTAAAGTAAGGTATTTAAACTTATAATAACGATAATATAAATTATATTAATAGCAACTATTATTATTAAGTCTTTATTGAACAAATACCATGCATAGAAATCTTTCTGTAAGACTAAGTATTATCAATTACACTATCAAAAATATATAAGCTATCTATAAAAGTACTCAACAACGATCAAAACAACAAACAATGAATAGCAAAGCAAAGCAAAAGAAGGCAATTTTAAATAAATATGTAATGGATTTAGGATTAGAGGATTAGAGGATGTTAAGGTACAAAGATATGCCAGAAGGTGTATTTAATGAAGACTGAAACAAAGATGAGAGAAAAGGTGTTGGTAAATGTATAAATGTCTGTCCATGTCCATACGCCTCACACATTTACATTTTCTTGTGTGTGAGGGGGAAATCACACACAGGGAATTTATGTGGCAGAGTTTATTTTGGACCTAGTAGATGTACTGACAAAATCCCTACTAATAGCCATTAGGAACAAACATTTCATCATTTCTGAGGAGGTTGTTTGGTCCATTCTGGGCAACACACTCCCTCAGACTATCGCTGATTTTCTGGACATTAAGGACACGGTTGAGTGTGCCAGTGCCACAAGTTTAACCAGGCTGCTGGTGAAAGAAGCTGTAACCAGCGTCAAGTCAGCAGTCAGCTGCAATTCAAGTCACTTTCCACCACAGACTTGATGTCATTGTTGGTCACGCCATCCATATGTTGAGAACTATTGGGGCTAAGATGAAGGGTTTAGATTACGCAAAGAGAAAAGGGCTATGGAGACCTCCACTGATGGTCAAAAAGGGGATGACGTCAACGATGAAAGGAGCCACGAGTCATCTGGCCCCTCTAAAACCTCAGAGGTCAACTGTACCCTCTTTCAAACCCCAGTTGCTCCCCTCTTTCAAACCTCAGAGACAGGGTCTGCCCACTCAAAAACCTCAGAGGTCAACTATACCGTCTTTCAAACCTGAGGGTCCAAGTCTACCCTCTCAAAAACCTCAGAGGCCAAATATGCACTCTCTAATAGATCAGGGTCCGCACCTATATTCCCTAAAACCTCAGCCGCCTCAAGCAGATTAGAAGACAGCATTGGAAGCGATACATTCAGAATGGTTGAGGATATAATTACAAAATCATTTTTGAAAATCACAGAGCCCCTAATGGATAGTATGACCCAATGTGAGAGCGATCTTCTTAGAGCCGACACAGTCGAGGAGATTTCTGAACTCACTCAATTCATTGTCAAGGAGAGTCTGGGAGCAAAGAGCAATTCAATGACTACCATTGAAGAAGTAGAAGCCGAGATCAAGCTGGGCGAGAAAAATATATGCGGAAAGATCAAGGCCTTTCTAACCAGACGTGTTGCCAAACTGACCATACATCGAATGTTGTCAGGGCTGAAGGCAACATTTTGCCCTGGAGCAAGAGCTAGC